CAATGAAATTTGAAAGCTACTCCAGCACAGTGCCCCAAACACCACATCACAATCACACTACAGAGTATTTAAAAATTAAAATAATTAAAATAATAATAATTAAAAACCTAGTCTAAAACCTATCTAAAACATATAGTAAGTTAGTTTAAAAAAACTATATACATAGGGCTAAATCACATATGCATTGTTTGATTCAAGACAATTATTGCCTTGGAAAAGAAACTGTTTCTCAGTCTATTAGTCCTCATTTTAAGACACTTATAACGCCTCCCTGATGGTAACAGTTCGAAATATGAATGTCCAGGATGAGAATGGTCAGTGGAGATTTTTTGTGCTCTAGAGAGGAGTCTGGTCTTCGCAATCTCTTCCAAAGAAGAAAGAGAACAACCGATGATTTTTTGTGGAGCATCTTCTTATCCACTGCAGAGCATCCAGCATACCACACCGTTACACAGTATGCCAAAATGCTCTCGATGGTAGAATGGTAAAAAGTAACCAGCAACTTCTCACCCAGACCACTCTTTTTCAACAGCCTCAGAAAGTGCAGGCGCTGTTGGGCCTTCTTTGCAGTGGCCATAGTGTGGACTGACCAAGTAAGGTTGTTGAAAATATGAGTTCCTAGAAATTTAATACTATGAACTCTTTCCACACAGTCTCCATTGATATATAGTGGGAGAGGCTCTGCTTTCTTATCCATGTGAGAAATTCTTGGCCTTTTTTTTTTTTTTTTACCAGCTTTCTCTGAGTTAACACATTCCAAATAAATCCTTGGTGCTCCCTGACATCTGTTTTATTGAAAATGTTTCATTACCTTGATTAAGGCATTGTTTTCTGCTTGATTGTTTGTCTAGTATTAATCCTTGCTTATCTGGGTTTTGGTTGCTGGAGAGAAGGTGCTCTGGTCTTTTGTTTCCTCCTTAGCTTTTTAATTTTGAATGATATGTCAATATTATACTATAAAACCAATCATCCTCTTTTGGCAGCATTAAGGTGGAGAGTTGGGGTAAGTAACCATTAGCTCAGTTCTCTAGTAAAGCAGATGTACATGATCAGCTCTTGAGGGTATAAATAAACTAATGATTTTTTAAAATTTGGTTGCTTTCAAGAGTTCTTCAGTAATAGTCATTAACATTTGTATTAAAATATAAAACTCCAATGCAGTTGTAGCTTTAGTGCCGTAGAAGATCATTAAGGCTTGTTGTTTGCATTTAAAGGGTCTTTGAATAAAAACTACAATGAAATCTAAGAACAGATGGAAGTCCTTAAGCTGCACTTGTGGAAACATCATCAGACTATGGTTTCTCTTAGGACTCTTTATATTATTAGCTGTGATCTGGAAGCAAGGCACAAAGAGTTGCAAATGCTCTAGAATGACAGCATCCATGGTAAGTATTTGGGGAGGGGGGAAGAGTTCTGGATCCAATTCTGCACAGTGGGGTGCGGGGTTGGTTAATTTTAAATGTTTTGTATTCTTACAATTGCAACTTACAATTAAATTCTTACAATTGCAACTTAAAAAATGAAATAATATAATCTCATTTTGGGTGGTGCGATGGCTCAGCAGTTAAGATATGGCTTGTCAGGGCTGTTGGCCCGAGTTCGAGACCCGAGCAATCTAGCAGTTTGAAAGCATGCAAATGCTAGTAGATAAATAGGTATCGCGTCCAAGGGAAAGGTAACTGCATTCCATATTTTAACACTGGCCACATGGTGATAGAAGTGTCTCCCAGCCAACACAGGCTGCCTTAGTTGAGAATTGGAGATGAGCACTGCCTCCTTGAGTTAGTCACGAAACCTTTAAAGCTTTTACATTTTCTTAAGATGTTTGTATTTTGTTTTGCTTGATTTGTATTCTTTGGGGTGCCTGACTTTTCAGGGTGTGTTTTTGTGTGTGTGTGTGTGTAGAGTATGTGACCCATATATGACATGGTAATACAGTTAGAGTAGCATTGGAATTAATTATGCTTTTTTTCTTCCGATCAATTGTGTCCGATTCTCGGAGATTGCCTAAACAAGTCCCTGCAGTTTTCTTGGCAAGATTCTCAGAAGTTGGTCCAGTACCTTCCTCCTGGGCCTGAAAGAAAGTGACTGGCTCAAGTTCATCCAGCTGGCTTTGTGCCTAAGGCAGGACTAGAACTCATGGTCTCCAGGTTTCTAACCCCAAACTGTAACCACTACACCAAACTGGATCTCATGTATTAAATATGTATTATTCTTATGAAGTATTTCAATATAAAATGTAGGTTTAGGACAACTCTGCAGAATGTCTGTGGTTCGACAGTTGAGGCATAGACTCATTTGACTGTAAACAGTAATATTAGGCAAACATTGGCTTGGATGGAAACTTTCAACTAAATAGAAGTTTAGAATATAGAAATCGGGATGGAAAGAAGTCCCTGCATATTTTACACTGCTAGTCATTTCTGACTCTCCATTTCAAGCCCACTGACACAGTGCTGTCAAAATTTATTTCCGTGGCCATGACATCATGGAATGTTACCTTCCCACCAAAGTGGTACCTATTTATCTACTAGAATTTGCTTGCTTTTGAACTGCTAGGTTGGCAGGAGCTGGGGCACGGATGGGAACTCACCCCATTGCAGGTCTCAAACCTGGGCTTTCCAGGTGACAAGCCCAGCGTCTTAACCACTAAGCCATTATGCTGCCCCAGTATAGAAATGGGGTGGACAATTTCTTCCAAGGCAAGAAAATATTCATCATGAGATGTGAGAAACTCTTCAGGAGATGACAGGAGAACCACTACTGAAAAATCTCCATGGGAGAGATACTCTTCCTGATGTTTGCCTTTAGGATTTCATTAATGCTGAGAAGCCAAAGAGGTTGCAGACCTGGAAAAAGAGAGCTATGCAGTAAAAGACACTCCTTGGCCAGATGATAACTTAAAAAGGTCAAGAACACCATATCCCACCCTTGAGACGTTCTCTAATGTGAAATCTTTTCTGCTGTGAAATCATGTCTGAAGCAGTTTTTCTTTCATCAAATAAAATGGGAAGCTGAAGAGAAAAAAGAAATACAGGATCATTTTTCTCCCTAGTGCTAGTATTGAGAAGCTATCACTATAATATATATAGTTCAGCTTCCCTTAAGTTCCCAGACCACAAAATACAAATATCATAATATAACATGTTTCCCCCACCAAAATTTTGGAATCACTCTCATTAATCTCTAGGAGGGCTTTACCCCCATTTTTTACTGAATGTATACAGTGTAGTAGTTTTCAGTTATATTGACCACCAGGAGGCACTGTGCAACCACTTTGATAGGACTTCTCAGCTGAGGATAGCCAGATGTTATTCTACCTCTTTTAGAAAGATATTTGATTGTATTGATTCTTCAAGTTTCAAATAAGGATTCCCATCTGTTTGCTGGAAAGGATACAACAATCAGACTAGCATCTGTAAACCATAAAGTCTGAGCCAGTTTGATCTAATGGTTAAATGCTGGACTAGGAGTACGGAGATATGAGTGATTCATCCAAAGCTGTTCTGACCAAGGCTTCCTGAGGCAGTAACGATCACACACTGTTCCCAAAAACCTTTTGTTTTATTTTCACAGCTATGAATTATACGCATTCACAGCCCGTAATGAGTCCCAAAAAGTTTATGAATAGTCCAACAAAAGTCTGCCACAGTCTTTTGGGGATAAGGCTGATAAGCACCCACCTTTATCTCCCTTGAAATGCTGCCAACAACTAAATTGCCAATTAGCTGTACAAGGCCAAATGGAGCATAAAGTTGACACAGAGCTTCAGATTTTAAACCGACCAGAATAAACAAAGTTGCTTCCTGTAAAGGCTCATGTCCCTTTGCTCCTCCTTTATATTTTATGGGAGGGGCCAATCATCTCCAAGCCTTACTCCCAAGTTGCCCCTTTTGTCTTAACTGTTCTTGTCTTCTGGCAGCTCTGTGCAAGTGTGCACTGGGAATAGGCTCCCCCTGTTCCTCTGCCTCGTTGATGTCAGATTCTGGAGGTTCCAGAGTCAACACATAAGTCTCAGATGACCCTGTCCCCATCTCTGTGTCAGATGCAGATCCCTCATCTGAGCCCTCCCCACACTCCAGAACTGGCCCATGTTCCTCCCCACTGTCCGACTCTGCTGCCAGCTCCGCAGGCCACCGGTGGACCACAATAAAAGCCAAATGAATGACTTTGGACTAATCTTTGTCTTTAAACCTTAAGGAGAAGACAATGGCAAACCAAAAACGGTACCAAGAAACCACACGGCCAGGAGTCAAGTTTCATTTGAAAATACACAGAGCTACGCACACAATCCCATTGCCTTCGGTGGATTGCCTTGAGCATTGTTCAGAAGCATTCTCCCGATTTCTAGATTTTGTAGATGTTTACTAATTGATTTCAAAAAAGCAAACTATTTTAAGATGAAACAATATCCTAGATCAAAGCAGCAGCAAACTGTATTTATATCATGCCAGGAAAGCTATATGGTTGTGTCTCTGTAAGTCACAGGGGGCTGAGTTTGTCTTCAAGGTGACTTTTGAAAGATATGTTAGCAATCAAAGACAGGAATAAGACTGAAGTGAGAAATAAAGGGGGAATAAGAATAATAAAATTAGGAAATAAAATCTATAAAACAGAAGTCAAAGATGATGTAATAATGAAACAAGTGGAGCATAATAAGGGAATTAGTAGTAAGAAATGAAGTAGAAAAATAATAATTGCAATTATAAATCAGTAAAGGAGAAAGCAAAGTGGACCCTACTTACTTCCCTGTTCTGGCTCACAAATGTTTAACAGGAGAAAAAAGTAAAATAATAACCTCTGTCAGTGGTTCTTAACTGGGGTGGGATTCAAATTTTTTAACAACCGGTTCTGTGGGCATGGCTTGGTGGTCATGTGACTGGGTGGACATGGCTTGGGGGTCATGTTATTGGCTGGGCGTGGCCAACTCAATATCACTCACATCGAGGCAGGAATCTCCTCGCCTGGCCTCTCATGACTGTGGGGATGCTGCAACAGTCGTAAGTGTGAAAAATGGTCATAAGCCACTTTTTTCAGTGCCATTGTAACTTTGAATGGTCACTCCACACAAGCAAAGTACCAGCAAAGGAGGGGAAAAAACTCCAGAGATGTTCCTGAGACAGGAAGTCTAGTCCTGCCAAAAATGTAATAAGGGTTAACGGAGAGGCAGTTTCTGTAAGCACCACCAGAATGTTTCCTTCCTGCCTTCCTTACAGGATTAGGTCGGTAATTTCTTCTAACAACTGGTTTTCCAAACTGCTTAGAATGTTAACAACCGGTTCTAGCAAATAGGTGCGAACTGGTAGAATCCTACCCCTGTTTTTAACCTTTTCTTCACTATGGACCCCCTTTAAATACCTTTTGTGGTCATGGACCATTGTCACGGATCCCCAAGACTTAACTCAAGATTTAAATCAAGCCTTCACGGAGCCTGAGATGACATTGTAGCCCTCCCCAGGAGTTTGCAGACTGCAGATTGATTATGACTGACCCAGAGATGGTATTTAGCCAGTTCTGACACATTCTGCAGAACCGGTAGCGAAATTTATGAGTAGTTTGGAGAACCAGTAAATACCACCTCTGGTTGGCTCTGCCCCCATCTATTCGCTGCCTCCTGAGTCCCAGCTGATCGGAGTCCCAGCTAATCAGCTGGGTCTTCTTTTGTTGGCCTGCACAGGAGAATGGAGCTGGAAAGCAGGTTAGTGGGGTGGGGAGGGAATGGGGATTTTACAGTATCCTTACCCTGGAGTGGGGTGGAAATTGAGATTTTGCAGTATATCCTTCCCCTGCCCACCAAGCCACACCGCACCCACCAAGCCATGCCCACTGAACCGGTAGTAAAAAAAATTGAATACCACCACTGGATTGACCTCTACTATTCCAGGATACAGAGACTGACATACTAAGTTAAAGGTGTTGATAACACTCAGTCAACCCTGAATAGAGATAATGGTAGCTGGAAAACAAATATGCTTTTTTAAATTTAAGGTTACAGGAAGAAGAAAGGTAATAATTCCAGAGAATCCTTTTTGGAAGAAACCAGAGAATCTAAACCTCAGTGTACTGGAAAGCGCTTGGGGTCCTTTACCCATTAAATATCAATATCTTGCTGGATCCCCTTCCTCTAAAATGAGTAAGTATAGGCTCTTTTTCTATAACATGGTTATTAAATTTATCAATTCTTTTCATATATGCATTTCTGGAATGGTGGTTTGCCCATGCATATTTTTTATTTATTTATTTTATTACATTTATATTATATTTATATTGTATTATTTATATTACATCTCACTGTCCTGGGACTTCCACAAATTTACAATTTCTTAGTACTCCAAATAACTCCCAACAGTTGGTGGGTTGTACTGTATAGTTTGGTCAACCTAACCCTAACTCTAACCCTTACCGGTCATTGGTGGCTTGTTGGCTGGAACATTTGTTAAGAGAAATAAAGAACTCTGTAGAGCAAGGGTGTCAAACTCAATTTCATTGAGGTCCACATCAGGGTTGTGTTGACCTCAGGGGAGTGGGGGGCATGGCCGGGGGCGGGCGTGACCGGGGTGGGCATGGCCAGCTTGACATCACTCATGTCTGTGGTGGCCCAGGCAGGGCGGGGGATCCATTGTCTCCAGTGGAGGAAGGAGAAACCCTTATCCTCCAGAGGAGCCTCGTCGTCCCTCTCAGGCCATGTGCAGGATCCCTGGATGGTGGTGTAAGCTGTCCACTGCCCTAGGCAATGGAGGGCAAGCAAGTTTGCTTTGCTAGCACTGCCAGCAAAAACAGAGCTCAGGAGGGGCTCTCCATTTTCAGCTGCAACAGCCTCCTGCAGCACTCTACCAACAAAAACAGCCACCACCAGGTTGGAGATCAATACCCAGTTGGTCTGGGCCAGGCCGAGGCACTGTGGGCCGATCCTTTGCTGTTTCCAGGGCAGCCCCACAGGCCAGATTTAAGCACCCCGTGGGCCAGATCTGGCCCCTGGGCCTTGAGTTTGACACCCCTGCTCTAGAGCCATGCATGCCAGAGGTGATGGCACACGAGCTGTCACCCAAGTTCAGCACCAACACGCATGAGTGCATGCCTCCCGTCGGCCAGCTGGCCTTCAGGTCTCTGCCGCACATTGCATGGGGGTGAGGTGCATGTGTGGGGATCACACATGCATGCACAGGGGGCAGTGTGCAGTATGGGGGGTCATGTGCTCATGCGCCACCGCATGGGGCACACGCACGGGGACGCGCATTGCATTTTGGGCACATGCAAGCTTTGGGCACTTGGTCCAGAAAAGATTATCCATCACTGCTCTAGAGGCCTGCCTTGCCTTGACTACCTGGGACATAATTCATGGCTCATTTAAGGAAGAACACTTTCATGATACAAAGTATTTTTACATTTTCCCAGGTTTTGATGGCTCTGTGAGATTTCATGATTCTCGCCTAGCCATTTTTTCAGGGGTCAAAAAAAAAAAGGCCCAGCCTTATTTTCTGAGAAACACGGTAGATAGATGATAGATAGATGATAGATAGATAGATAGATAGATAGATAGATAGATAGATAGATAGATAGATAGATAGAT